CCTACACGGGACTCAAGATTGGGGGAGTTGGGGATCGGAATCGATTCCCTAATCCCTAAACCCTAAACCCTAAACCCTCAACCCTCTACCCTCAACCCTCAACCCTAAACCCTAAACCGACCACAGGGCTTGCAAGCTCCAAGTTCGGGTTGTGGGTTTGGGGACTCCGAGGTCTTCTGGCACATGGCCTTGCGAGAGGGTTCAGGTGAGGAGGGTTTAGGGGTTTAGGGGATTAGGGTTTAGGGTTTAGGGTTTAGGGTTACGGGTTAGGGTTCAGGGTTCAGGGTTCAGGGTTCAGGGTTCAGGTGAGGAGGGTTTAGGGTTGTAGGGTCTTAGGGTTCAGGGGTTCAGGGTTTTAGGGTTGAGCTTCTGGGCACATTAGCCGGAACAAAAACCCTTACTTGGGTTCAGAGTCTAGGGTTTAAGGTTCTTGGTTGAGCTTCTGGCAAATTGGCCTTGACAAAAATCCTTACTTGGGTTCAGGGTGTTTAGGGTTTTAGGGTTCAGGTTTTTAGGGTGGAGCTTCTGGCACATTGGCCTTGGGACAAAAAACCCGTGGGTTCAGAGTTTAGGGTTTAGGCTTAGGACTAGGGTTTAGGGCTGAGGGTTCAGGGCTTAGGGGTTTGCCGCCACTGCGGTGTGTATCTTGGTGTGCCTGTTGCACTGATGGGTACATGCAGAATGTACAGGACGTGATAGAAGGGAGACGCAGACCCCTTCTTCGCGACAATTTTCCAACATTCCTGATAAGACGAAACGAGATGCCCAGGTACAAAACCTCACACTCCCGAAGCCCTAGACCCTAAACCCTAAACCCGAAACCCTAAACCCTAAACCTGAGTCCAACATTCCAACAGAAACCAACGGTCCGGAAAGCGCGCGTCCAGGTGCATGTAGACGCTGTCGCGGGTCACAGCTGGCCACGGCGTGGATGCTCTTCCCTGAATAGGGTTTAGGGTTTAGGGTCTAGGGTTTAGGGCTTAGGGTTTAGGGCTACTTGGAAGTTCATGGGCACTTTTAGATAGGGTTTTCAGATACCTACGGTTGTAACCTCATTTAGGGCACTTCGAATTCTGCTGGGCCGAAGGCTCCTCAAGCAGGGCCATGGCCAGGATGATGGGCACTGGTTCGTTGCCTCCTCCCTCTCTCCCTCTCTCCCTCTCTCTCTCTCTCTCCCTCTCTCGCTCACTCTCTCTCTCTCTCTCTTTCTCTCGCTCGCTCTCTCGCTCTCACTCTCTCTCTCTCTCTTTCTCTCGCTCGCTCGCTCGCTCTCTCTCTCTCTCTCTCTCTCGCTCGCTCCGGCTACTGGTAGACGACCTGACTTTGAAATCCAGAGCACACTTGTCTCGACGGGAAGGCAGATCCAAGATACAGACAAGTGAGGAATTTCTACCCTGAGCCTTCTTGACTGAAGCCCTGGTCACCTAAAATGGCCCATGTGCTTGAAGAGTGAGTCTTTTTACTGGTAGAACTTTTGGCACTCGTACTTCATGTCAGGGAGTTGTTGAGTATCATGGACAGCACTTAGGGACCACTCCCCCCCGCCCGCCCCGCACTGCCCACCTACACATCTTCACAACAGAAGAGCCTCTCCATGGTTCTTTGAACCCCCTCTGGCATTGCAACTGCTTCGGCGCCTTATCATGAAAACACGCACCAACAGTTGCTCACAATGACCTACCACTTGGGATGTTCCCCCTTATGCTAACAGTCTTTAAGAGGGATGATTGCACCCCTATACCCTAAACCCTAAACCCTAAACCCTATTTAGGACAGTACAAGGGGCAACATCCCAACCTACCACCCGAAAAAGCACTAGACTTGAACAAGCTTGCTGGGACTCCTGGACCCCTTTCTGAACCCCCAGGAAGTCCCTAAACCCTAAACCCTAAACCCTAAACCCTAAACCCTAAACCCTAAACCCTAAACCCTAAACCCTAAACCCTTCTCCTTTTTAGGGTTTAGGGGCCGTTCCGACTGCGGCCCGAGCGGCCTTGTTGTGCTTGGCCCGCTGCTTTTCCGAGGGAGCCCAGCCTGCAACCGTGGCGTTCAGAGGCGGAGGGCTTCCAAAAAAAACACAGGTTTAGGGTTTATAGGGTTTAGGGTTTAGGGTTTAGGGTTTAGGGTTTAGGGTTTAGGGTTTAGGGTTTCGGGTTTAGGGTTTAGGGTTTAGGGTTTAGGGTTTAGGGTTTAGGGTTTAGGGTTTAGGGTTTAGGGCTTAGGGTTTAGGGTTTGCGGTTTAGGGTTTGGGGTTTGGGGTTTAGGGTTTGGGGCTTGGGGTTCAGGTTTAGGGTGTAGGGTTCAGGGTTGAGGGTGCAGAGCTTCGAAACTCACAGTCGCACCGCGGCAGGCAAGGAAATGGTCCAGAGTCCACACTACGACAGGCCTTCGTACACTTTCGGATGAGGGGCAAAGTCATCAACAACTAGCAAGCACATGAGATGCGCGCCAGTTATGAGAAGGTATGTCCCAGAGGGCAAGAAGTAGATACTCTAGCCTACGCGTGGCATCAAGTTCATGTGCTAGCTTGTGATCAAGCCCCCGAAAGTTGGTGGCCGAATACGACCCGTAGGTGGAGCAAAACTCCAAGACGGCGGGTTTCCGACAATAGAGGACCCCTGATATATCCCCAGTAGTAGGATTCCCTTAGAATAAGGACCCCAAGAAGGTACCCCCAAAATTTCGGAAACCACCGTACATTCTCAAGCGGGACAAGCCATCACTGTGGATGGGGGACCCTATGGCTGGAGCCCAACAGGCAATGCGCCTTGGGATCCTGCATCCCGCCGGCTCATGCGCCTATGCTCAGGGGGGCCGCCCAAGGCCTCCCCCAAAGCAGCCAGCACCTGCTCGTGCGTCTTCGTCTTAAGAATCTTCTTGATACTACCCAGCAGCCCATGTCGGATCAGGAGCTCCTTCGGGGCGGCCTTGACCAGGTTCTCCAGGATTGGCCGCTTCGGCAGACGTCTGGCCGTCTCGTAAGGCATCAGAACTGCGTCGGGTTCTGCCGGGCCTAGCTTGCCACAAAGCCAAGCGCCAAGAGGTAGCTCCACCTTGCTGATGGAATGAGGTGCCCGAAATCCCCCCCCTAAGGCCCCATCTATACCCTTTTAAGGGGATTCCGTAGGGTACCGCATTCCCTCATTCCCTGCTAACCAACAGAAAGCCACGCCATACTCGAAGTTCATGTGCTCATGAAGGTTCGGATCGTCTTGGATGCACTCCAGAACAGCCACTGCCCCGCGCATCAGGAAGTCGGCCCGACTGTCCATCAGCACAACAACTCGCTCATGGATGCCTTTGTTCCATCGGCTGATACTGATGCGGCAGCAGGTGATTCGCTGAATCTGACAGAGGTTCACTCCACCTTGGTAGCCCAGTAACCATATTATAGTGAGGGCACCCTTTGGGTTTAGGGTTTAGGGTTTAGGGTTTAGGGTTTAGGGTTTAGGGTTTAGGGTTTAGGGTTTAGGGTTTAGGGTTTGTTGAGGGCTGGTTACTCAAGAAGAGAACCCGTAACCCAAAAACGGGTAAAGGGTACCACTGGGGTACCAAGCCACCCAACCCAAGGATTTTGCCAACGGAGGAATTTGGCACCACGAGCTTCAGGACAAAATGTGAATTCGGCTGTGCGGTTCCCACCCAGGCTTTCAACATCTCGTTGACCACGGCGCGGCCAAGATGGTCATCATGCGGTCTTGTGTACCTGGAAAGAAGACATCGACGCCAGACATGCTCATGTTCGTCTGAGTCAATTGCTGGAGCCGATGGACGACCTTACCCCGCTTGCCGATCAACGCCCCTGCGAAGTAGGCTGGCACAAGGACCTTGGGAACGAAATGAACCCTAGAAGGGCTTATGGGTTCACATGACCTTATAAAATTCGTAGGAATTGTAGTAGTTTCGGGGTATATGACCCCAACAATTTAGGCTTCATTTCCTCCCCAAGGGAACCTTGCAGCGGAACTCTGCGTTCGGAGAACGGAGGTTCGGGATCATACCCACGTTGCTCACCTCGTCCGTGGCGAGCGGGACGAACGACGGCTGCGGGACGTAGGAGGGCCTTCGCAGGCCAGCAACCAGGGTTTAGGGTTTAGGGTTTTAGGGTTTTGTGATGAGGGTACCCCTTTTTTGGGGGTTGGCTACCTTCAATCATGCAGGGAATTGGGATGTTACCCCTTATACTAACAGTCTTTAACAGGGATTCGAGTACCCCGTACTATAATCCCTCTTAAGGACTGTTAGTATAAGGGGGAACATCCCAATCAGGGAACCCAGAGCCACCCTAAACCTCAAACCCTAAACCCTAAACCGTAAACCCTCAAAAAGCGACAGAAGGGCACCACTGCGCCACCAAGCGGCTTGATGACCACGTCAACTGGCAGCTCGAACTCGGTATCATCCAGAGAAACCTTGGGAACGAAATAGGGTTTAGGGTTTAGGGTTAATCGGGGTCATATACCCTACCTATACTACTATATTTCCCATGAAGGTATATGAACCATAAACACGTTTAGGGTTCATTTCGTCCCCAAGTAACTTGCGAGTAGATCTCGTGCTCTTCCTCAAGCTCGGAAATTTCCTAGGCGCTGGTCCCTTCGAAAGCCTCTGAAAAAGATATTCCTAAGTCTGACTCCTCGTACAAACCCTAAAAAAAGGAAAAATTGGGAAAAATGAAAAAACATCCCCAAAAGGGCCTTAGCTCCCCCCCCCCCCCCCCCCCCCCCCCCCGCCCCGCCCAAAAAACAGCAAAGCATATCCCAAACAGGGCCTGCCTAGCTTCCCGTAAGCCCTCGAGAACCTCTGCTTCCACGTCAACATGGGACATGGCGTTCGGATGGCGTTAGGGCGAACTCGCCACGAATGCCTACTCTAGGGCTCCTGAGGGTTTAGGGTTCAGGGTTTAGGGTTTAGGGTTTAGGGTTGTGAGGTGAGAGGGGGTTCATGGGGCGGGGGGGGGGGTGGGGGGGGTTGGGAACCTCAGGGAACCTTCGGGAATTTGAGGGAACTTTACGGTGAGTAAGGGAATGTCAGGGAACCTGAGGGTAAGCCAGGGAAACTTAAGGAACCTCCTGGGAACCTAGGGAACCTTGTTAGGGAAGCCTGGAGGGAGCGTTAAGGAGTCTTGGGGAGTTTTTGGGTATTACAGAGCCCCCCTCAACCCCCCCCCTCCCCTTACATGGAGGTTCATGGCACTTTGTAACGAACTGTAGCTGTACTTAGAACCCAACTATAAGTCCACTAAGTCTAGTTAACATGCCTATCATCCTCCTCAACCGAACAAGACGGGACTGCGTGTATATATGTATATATATATATATTATTTGTTTATACGGATATATATATATATATGTATAATCCCAAGGCCCTACCCGAAACCCTGAACTTTTCGGGCTTAGGCGTCTCCACCCCCCTCACATACACAAACACCCTTGAGCCGTGGCCATTTGTCAGAAGTTCGGGTTTAGGGTGTAGGGTTTAGGGTTTAGGGTTTAGGGTTTAGGAACCTTCCCTGGGTTATAGCATTCGATTTAAAGGGGCCTTTTTGAGACAGAGTAGGATGTCGTGCGATAGGGTTTAGGGTTTAGGGTTTAGGGTTTAGGGTTTAGGGTTTAGGGTTTAGGGTTTAAGGTTTCCTCAACCTTCCGTAGGGGGTTATCCTTCGCTTCTTGGGGCTGATATCTGGCGGATCCTTCTCTCATTTAAGGAACTCGTAGGATGCTTAGGGTTTAGGGTTTAGGGTTTAGGGTTTAGGGTTTAGGGTTTGGGGTTTAGGGTTTAGGGTTTAGGGTTTAGGGGGCTTGCCTGGCCCTAAATCCTCAACCCAGAGGAATAATCCTGAATTGAAGGGTCTGGGAGTTTCTGGGTTTCAGGAGCACAGGAAGTCGTGTCCACCGGAACAAAACACATCTTCCTGTACTGTCCACACCCTAAACCCCATTCGCTGCCAAGAACAAACCTTGCAAGCCCTAAACGGAAGTGTACACACACATGTCTCTCAAAACCCTAAACCCTAAACCCTAAACCCTAAACCCTAAACCCTAAACCCTAAACCCTACACACCCAAGAGGAGGTCGACTGCCAGAGGCCCTAAGGAGTAGGTGCCCTTAGTATGCCCTATATAACCCCTTATATAGCCTGTAGAACCTACGGGCCCTTACGTACTTCGAAACCCTTCAAAGAAGGTAAGGGACCATGTAACTATCGTTAGAGCTAAACCCTCGATACCCCCCATAAACCCTAAACCCTAAACCCTAAACCCTAAACCCTAAACCCTAAACCCTAAACCCCCTGAACACGAAACCCTAAACCCTGAACCTGACATACCACGTCACAAGGCCTATGAATGCAACCGAAATCGAAACCGCGTCGGCAGAAGGGCCGGAAAGCAGCGCCTAGTTGCTGAGCATAGCGGTAGACGTGCGTGTCCTTGGGTTCGCTTGTGGGAGGGGGTTAGGGTTTAGGGTTTAGGGGCTATAGCGATTAGGGTTTGGGGCTCAAGGTTTAGGACGGCTTAGGCTGGCAAAGCGCCTTTCTCTCTAACACCCTTTCCACACTCAGGGTGTGGGGCTTAGGGTTTCCGATTCTAAGCACCCTAACCCTGTACGGGGCGTCCGAGCCGTTTAGGGTTTAGGGCTTCGGGTCTAGGGTTTAGGGTTCCTGCCGAGAGTCCACAGCCATGTCCGGATTGTCGCAGTCAAAGCAATTGATGATGGCCTGGGCCACTTAACCCTGAACACGAAACCCTACAAACCCCTAACCCCAAACCCCAAACCTCTAACCCTAAACCCTAAACCCCTAACCCTTAACCCTAAAACCTCTAAAAAGGGAAGGCCTCAGTCGGCAAACTTCTGGTCGGGTGCAAGTCGGCAGGACGAGCTGGGGTGTGAATCTTGTCTGCAGCAGCTTTTGCAAACTGGTTGGCCTTAAGGTCTGTGGTGGCCTAAACCCTAAACCCTAAACCCTAAACCCTAAAACCCTAAACCCTAAACCCTAAACCCTAAACCCTAAACCCTAAACCCTAACCCCTAAACCCTAAACCCTAAACCCGAAACCCTAACCCTAACCCCCAGTTGGGCCAGATAACATGAATCTCAGGCAAGCCAGGTGAAAATTCTGGGCTGGCGTACAGCCTTGAAGGACTTCGGGTCATAGGGTCCCCCACTACCCCTGCGAAAGGCAAACGCACCTCGATTTCCCCCCGCCCCAGGGTTCCCTCTTGAATAACCGAAATTCGGCTTAATTATCCTGAAATTGGCCGTAATTAGATTTTATTCTGGGGGAACACCCGAAACCCTAAGCCCTAAGCCCTAAACCTAGGGGGGGGGGGGAGAACCCCTGATGACCCATGATCGGGGGATCCTGAAGCCCGGAAAACCAAGCCGAGCAGCGCTGGTCTTCTTGCCGATGCCCTGGAAGCCTCACACGCAGGGAAACGAGCTGATCAGGCTAGCGGCTAGGGTTTACGGTTTAGGGTTTAGGGCTTAGGGTCTAGGGTCTACTGTTTAGGGTTGAGTCATTTCGGGGTTCTCAAAGAACGAGTTTGAAGGCCCTTTTTTCTGGTGATGTAAGGCAGCCCGACGTACTCAGCCGACTGAAATCTCAAAGCCTGAGGTTGCACTAGGTACTGCACGTACCGAGTGGTAAACAACTGGGTGCTTACGAACATAGGGGACCCCCAATATACAACCCCCAATGGTAGGACACCCTTGCAATCAGGAGCCCAAGAAGGTACCCCGAATTTCGGAAACCATCCTAAACCCTAAACCCTGAACCCTAAACCCTAAACCCTAAACCCTATGCGGAGCTGCAATTGGTATTGTTGAAAGGAGTTAGTGTTGGAAGTTGGAAGGGTTAATGAACCCGGTAATCGTATTTGGCTCAAGATGGGCTTGAACAGAAAGCCACAAGTTCAAAAAGTAGTGCCTGGGTTCTTAGGGTTTGGTAAGGGTGTGGATTCCTTCCCCCTTTCCTTCCCCCCTGGGTTGCTCTTATCCGTGTTCTTGGTTGTTTCTTGGTTCGATCTGGGAAATATAAGTTCAGGGCGATTAGGGGAGTTGATTTCCTTCCTTGGTTGTCCCCCCGTAGGTTATGAGCCCAAATTAGGTTCCCTGCGGTTAAGTGTTCTTTCAAGGTTTTGGGATCAAGAAGCAATGCCTTCTCCGAAGCGATGGCTCCAACTTGCCTCGGATGGTGGACAAGATGGTGGAGCTGGAAATGGTGCAGCTGAGTCTCTGGGTGAAAGATCGGTGTTGGAAGAGGTGATTCCCGACGCTGAAGTACATCTGGAAGAGGCCTTGGTTGCAGAAAGCCCCAATGCGGGTATGAATCCCAATAGGGATATGGTTAGCAATGCTGAAGCTGAAGGACGTGCTGTTTCTGTACCGCCAAAGCCTGGTGAAAAAAGGAACTGGGATGCGACTGGTGGCATAGATCGTGAAATGGAGGTGACTGTTTTACGAGTGTTACACAAACACGGGTACCAGCCGTCGTCTTCGACTTCGGGTCGAATGGTAGACCAAGAGTCTCAGACCGATCTGATTGGAGAAGTGCTACAAGCGACCAGGAGGCCGTTGAACAAGATCAAAAAGGGTCCATCTTCGAGTTCCCAAGGTGGTGGAAGCGGTCACAAACAGAAGGGTGCGGACGGCTTTGAA